GTTTTATTTTGCTGTTTTTTTATTGGCTTAATTGGATTTATTTATGGATTGGTACTATGGAGTGTACATATACCAACTATCTAAATATATTTATAAAGTTATCTAAATATATATATTATATATTATACTTTAGTGTAAAAAGCAATATTTAAGTTATTAATAATGTTATATTTTAATTATAATTATTATAATACATTCAATAAGTTTGATCTTTGAGTCCAATTCCAGAGCAGCAGCTTCAACTAAAAATAAAATATGTTTATACTACTAAATAATTATTTTATTATTATTATTATTATTATTATTATTATTATTATATATATATATATATATATATATATATATATATATATATATATATATATATATATACATAATAATAATAATAATAACTTATATATATATATATATATATATATATATATATATATATATATATAATATATATTATACATAATAATAATAATAATAACTTATATATATATATATATATATAAAATATATATATATATATATTATATATATATATATATATATATATATATATATACATATATATATATATATATATATATATATATATATATATATATATATATATATATATATATATATATATATATATATATATATATATATATATATATATAAATGCTCAACAATATTACTTTCCGCAGCTACCAAAATTTGAATGACCTTCTTATTTACAGCACAGCGTTTAGCTAGGTCAGTTGCTGTTTCATTTTTATGATTTTCCAACAACACATCAGCACCCATCTATAAAAAGTAATTAACAAAATTAATAAAAAATCACAAAAAAAATGCAGAACAAAAATAAAAATGAAATAAAAACAAACTTCTAATAAAAATTCAATAGATTCAACATGTTTATCTGTTTCAGCTTTGCTAAAGTAAAAAAAGTCAAATAGAATTTTATTTTAGACAAATATTTAAATATAAAAATATTAAAAAAAATAAAATTATGAATTAGCAATAATCAAATACAAATAAATATCCCAAATCTATATCAAGAGTTGTGATAGAGTTACACTGTTTACATTATGCTCAAAAAATTTTTGATTGGTAATATTTAAATTATTCAACTGATATTTTAAAGTGGTTTTGTGAATAATTTAAATAAAAAGATTTAAGATAATGCTTTGAAAAAAGTATTTGTTATTTATAATATTCTCCATACATTTGCTATATTACCATAAAATTTAAAATTAGAAACAAAATTAAAAAACCAAACTATACATAACTTATATAAGTTATGCAACTTTATTTATTTTTAAATTTTTATTTTTAAATTTGTTAAATAAACTTATATAAGTTTATAAAGTATAAAATAATACAAGTTTAATTATCGCTTTTAAGGAAAAATATTTTATTTCTAAATTCGTCAATAATAACTAGCTAAAACGTAAACTATATTTTTTAATTTTTTAAATACTTTTTACTTCTATTTCAGGTTTACATATTATTCCGATGGAACTTTCTGGAGCATTCTTGCAAAAAGAAATTTTTTGTTATTTAGTCCAACAGTTTTTAAATGCGTTAAAAATTAGCTCATAAATTATCTTATCAGATAACTTTGTTATGTTCGTCTTTGAAGAAAATAACAAAGTTATTTACTGGTTGTTGCTGATTATCGTCTAAAATTTCAGACAACAGATAAAAATTCTTGACTGAAAATATTAAAATAACTTAAATAAATAAATATATATTATCTGTAAATAATTAAACAAAACAAAGTAAAAAAATATCAATCATACGAAACAGCTGAATGAAGAGCAGACCAACCCTTCTAAACAAAAAAAATAAAAAATCAACTTTACTCTGTATGCCCAATTAGTTACCAGGACATTGATAAAAAAATAACTGTAACTTAGTTGTTAAAGTATTGTTATTTATTCATCCATTATTTTGTGATTATAAATTCTTATAAACTTAAAAAAAAAAACTAAAAGAAGCTAAACTAACTAAATTAAATGATATGACTATTTCAAGCAAACTGTTAGTAGTTTTTTTGTTTTGTTATCTTTATGCCTTTATTTTGGATATTTGGCAGTAGAGAAAAAATAAGTTAATTAATTTTTGTTAAAGTTTTTTCATTGCACTTTTATTACTCAGTGATGCAAAGATATTAGCATTCTAGTTTTAAGAGATCAAGACATGATTTCTAAAATGAAAATTAAAGACAAAATAACATAAATAAGTTTTAACTATCAACCAAATATTTAAATAATTTATAGATTAGTAGATTTAAAAAATATAATGTAAAAAACTAGTTTAAATTCTTTTTTTTGACAAAGTAAAAAAAAAAAAATTATTTATTGCATATATATTAAAAAATAAAACAAAACAAAAAACAACAAAAAAACTTACATCATTAACTGCATTTATATCAACGCCTTTTTCCTTGAAAAAAAATTATTAATTTTCCAATTATTATTCTGTTATATTAAACTTTTATTAGTTATTATTTATTAAAATTTGAAGCTCTTATTTGCTTAAAATTTTTATTGAAAATTGTTTATTTTAAAATGTAAACCCAGACTTTTTAAATTTTTTTTTAGTGATTTTTAATCTTTATTTACTTTTAAATTTTTTTTTAGTGTTTTTTAAAAAATTTAAACTACTAAATTTATTATTCAATTCCTTTTTTCTATTTATTATTATTGTTTTATTTATTATTTTTGTTTTTTATAATATTTAAATATTATAAATATTTTAAATATTGTATAAAAAAATCTTTTTAAAGCATAGCGAGAGTATTTATGATCGTAAATATATATCCTTGACTGGATAGATATATTTCATAATGGTGTGTAATATGTTTAATGTAATGTTAATATAACACATGTTTTATATAATGTTAATATAATGCAATAAAGATTGGTGCATTAATCCACCAGATATATTTGTTACACCAAAAAAAACCCAGGTACATTAAAGAAAAATATAATAACACACACAATTGTATATAAATATATATTTTTTATGTAATAACTATAATAACATAAATATTATATATATTTACCCATAAATAAATATGCATGTATAGAGAGCAAATAAAAGATTATTCACAAATATATACAAAAATATAAACTAAAAAAAGAGGGCAGAAAGATAATAAAAATTTTGGTGTTGTAAGATGCAAAAAAAAAAAAACGTACTGGTCTTATGACTAAAACAATTCAATTTTTAGAGACTAAGGACTAGACCAATTCAAATTTTAACTTGTGTTTTCTACTGTTTAAGTGTTTTAATTTTTTTATTTATAGCTTTTTTGAAATTAATTTTAATATTTAAACTCAGTTTTTTATTATAATGTTATTGTTATACTGTTACCTTGTTCATTTATTTAAAAAAGTTTTGATTCAAAAATGTTTATTTGCATAAAAAAGTTTTAGCAACTTTGTTTTTGTATTTTAGAAATTCATAAATTAATGTTTAAAATGAATTGAAATTAAAATGAATGAGTTGTATCAGCAGCAGAATAAAATAGCATATAAATAAATTTTTTTTTGATCATAAAAATGGCAACCTTACTAGTAACAAAGCTGCACAAGCCAAGTATCCACCTTCACAAGCATAATGCAATAAAGTATTTTTATTGGAATCTGAATAAATTATTAAAACAATTATCATCATCATCATCATCATCATCATCATCATCATCATTATCATCATCATCATCATCATCATCATCATCATCATCATCATCATCATTATATCATCATCAGCTTCATCATCATCATCACATCAGCTTCATCATAATCATCATCATCATCACTTCATCATCATCATCATCATCACATCAGCTTCATCATAATCATCATCATCATCATCATCATCATCATCATCAGCTTCATCATCATTATCAACTTCATCATCATCATCATCATCATCATCATCATCATCATCATCATCATCATCATCATCATCATCATCATCATCATCATCATCATCATCATCATCATTGTAAGTGACCAGGGTTGATTGGAATCTGAATAATTTATTAAAACAATATTCATCACCATCATCCTCATCATCATCAGCTTCATCATTATGATCCTTTTAAATACTCCAGGTCAAGTCAGGTTCAGGATCATCAAAATCACCCTGCTACTGGTATCATATAGCCCAGTACTACTTGTTCCATGCCCTGCTGCCTTATAGATGCCTTTTTTTAGACAAAGGCTAGGAGAAACTAACTCTGACTTAAAAATCCCATGGATTGGGGCTCTTGGTTAAATAAAGGCTAGAGATAATGTCTCAATAAAAATACTCATCTTGGGCAGTTGTTAACTGTATCCAGATAAAATTCTTCTTCTTTGGGGCTCTTGGTTGAGTAAAGGATAAAGATGGTGCCTTGATAAAAATACTCATCTTGGGCAGATGTTAACTGCATCCATCTACTATCTTGTAGTCTTGTAAAAGGCCTTCTAGGCAAAAGCTTCAGGGATAAGCAGAATAATTCTGCTAACCAGCCTCAAACCCTTTTTTATCTATTAGGCTGGCATAGATGTAAAACTGTGTTACATTGTTTCCTACCTAAGATGAATGCTATGCAACTCTTCCTGTTATCTCTTAAAGGGGTACAGCTCTAAAACTCAGTTTAATGGTTCTAAGGCATGTTGGTAGTAAAAATTTCTGAACTCTGTGGTAGCTCTTACAGAGGCTGAAACCATTAACAGCTGCGAAATATCAGAGTATTAATAGTGCCTTGCTGCGAATGGATTTTGTCCCTGTTAATACTTTTAGTGTGCATTGTCTAAGTCACATAAGGAGCCCTATGTTAGGACTTATGGTTAATTAAAAGGACTGAGATAACTGCATAGCTGTTTGATTAGGAGGCACTGCTCTATCTATGAATGAGTCAAGTTCTCTTCAAACTTAAATCATGCAAAAAGTAACATAAAATACTCAACATAAAAAATCTCCCCACCAAACTGTTTTAATCTTTTACAAATATTTGTGGTCTCTGAACCAATCTTCCATCAGTTGAACCTTACCACTTGCAAAATTCACTATACTTGGTTGTTCTTAGCGAGACTAATTTAAATTCTGCAACTCTACCTTTAGATCTCAGTGTTGATGGGTTCTATCTTTTAATTAGACTCCAATAGTCACATGCTTGGGTTAGGGGTACACAAACATCAATATCATTCAGAAATCAGGTTTAAATACTTTGACTATTTTTTCATGTGCTTCTGTTTAGCACCTCTTCAGCCTATAACTTTTCTCTTATTTTTTTATAGTTCTCCTTCTTCCCAAGACTGTACTCTTTTAGATAACTTCTGATCAAATTGAATATGCCCTTTTTTCTTTACCCCTTTACCAATATTGTTGTTATTGGTAACATTAATGTTTATCACACTGAATGGCTTGGCTTTAACCCCACTGACCCTGCTGGCATACCTTAACATTTTGCCAGGGCCGGGTTCATTACAAGTCCTATATTTAGCTGGGGCTGGGCCACTAGTCACTTACTAATTATCATCATCATCATCATCATCATCATCATCATCATCATCATCATCATCATCATCATCATCATTATCATCATCATCATCATCATAATCATCATTATCATCATCAAAACAAACAAAAAATTACCAACAGTATTAACATCACAACCCAGGTTGATCAATGTTATTACCAAACAATCTTGCCCTTAAATAATAATTTATTCTTATTTTACACACATAAACATAAATAAAATAAAAAAATAATAAGCATAAAAAAAATAATAAATACAGACATTTATAAACTTTGACAATTGTTTATGAATAATAATAATAAAAATAGTAATAATAATATTAATAATAGTTCACTGTGGGCCAAAGAGACTGCAGTGTATGTAGTTGTTATATATTTAGTTTTAAACCTACTCAGAGTAGGTTTAAATACTAAATACTTTAACTTTTACATTTTTAAATACTAAAAAAGCATTAACTTTTACATACCACTCTAGAGCAACAATAAGAATCATTTGATTTTTTTTGAATTGTGTACTACTAATATTTTAAATATTTTTGTTTTTAATTTTATTTAAATTATTTAAAATTTAATTTAGATTTTATTTTATGACCCTATGACCCACTTAATTATAACCATTTTTCCCTATTACTATTCATAGAACTTTGTTTGATTTAAATTTTTTTTTTTTATTGTTACAAGACAAATACTCTTGAATAAAATTTAAGTTACACAGCACAAAACCTTATATTTGAGTGACACATAAAACCTGGCAGTCATTTGAGAGACACATAAAATCTGGCAGTCATTTGAGTGACACATAAAACCTGGCAATCATTTGAGTGACACATAAAATCTGGCAGTATCTTTGGCACTAAGTGAGTTTCATTTAAACAAATTTTTTTTTTTAGTTTTCAAATTTTTTGGTTTTTATTTTTTTACTTTCAAGTATTTTTTTGTTTTTGAATAAAAATTCAAAGCATAAAACTTAAATAAGAAGTTTTAAAAAAAAAATTTAGAAAATTAAATTTCAGAAATCACAAAGAAATTTTCAATTCTAAAAATATATAAAATTTAAATTACCTCTTTTCACAGCATCAAATATAGCATCAACTTTCTGCTTATTTGTTTTCAAGCCATTTATAACTGATAAGTTACTTTGAACTAAAATCATGTACATGGAAATATAAACTTAATTTTGTAAATACTCTATAAGTTCTAAATTCTTAAATCAAAAAATTGTAAAAACAATTAAAACAAACACTCTGCAGCAAATGAATTGCTTTTTCAAATTTCTCAAACTTTAATTTTTTTGTTGAGAAAAACAGCAATATAACTTCCATTAATGAAAACAAAAATAAAAAATTTTCCAATTTCTAAGAAAAAGCAAAAAAGTGAAAAGAAATCAAATAGGCTTGTTTATAGGATTGTGAAGTTTATCGTGAAGTTGCCCTCAGCGATTATAGAGATAGCAATCATAGAAATAGTGATCATAGAGATAGCGATCATAGAGATAGCGATCATAGAGATAGCATATAAATAAAGAGTTTTTTAATCATTTAAACTATCACCTAGCCATTTAAGATTTTGAATTTTTTTTTTTTGATTTAATACTTGATGTATTTACAATTTTTATTACTAATAATTAATGTATTTTTAAAATTTTTCATAAAGAAAATTTTTAAGAATTACCTTCACCAAACTTTTCTTCACATATAGCTAACAAAGCTTTTTCAGTTTTAATTTCTGCCTCACATTGTTTTATGTGGCATCTTGTGCAAACCTTTTCAGAAAAAAACAACTTAATATTAGTAAATAAAAATAAATAAATCTCAATACAGTTAAATTTAAGTGAAGATTTTAATATTTCAAAGCAATATAGTAATATATACTTATTATTATTAATTAAATTCTAATTAATTAAACTAATTATGTTCTTATTAATTAATTTTTTTAAATTTGCAAGTTAAATGAGGTGGGACTATATGTAGCAACAATCACTGTTCAACAAAGTTTGCATAGATTGGGCATCAGAAGTATAAAGCCAGCACAAAAGACAATATTAACTTGGTTAGGATGAAGTTCATCTATGCATATTTAAAGATTGTGTTATAAATTGGTAATTTAAAAGTTATTCAATAACTTTTTTTAATAGAATAACACAAGAAACAATTTTTTTTTATTTCATTATTAAATTTACCTGCCCAAAAGTGGCTACTACATTCAAGGAGGTTTCTTAAAAAATTAATTTTAAATTTATTAATTAATCGTAATATTTTTTAAATCTTTCTCTAAACTCTAAAATTTATTTAAAAGGTTTTTTTAATTAAACGAGGCCAATGTGTGGAGAAATAGGTTGATTTAATGAGATTATTATTTTTTTCGAACCTAAATACTTCAACTTTAGATTTAAGTATTTAAATATATAAAATCAAAATTAATTCCAATTATACTCCAAACATTTTTTATTCAAAAATAAAAATTATTTACAAGATTTTATTTTTATTTTACTTGTTTAATGAATTACAATAGGATAGAACAAAGTGAATGAACCATATAGAACAGAATGAATCAATAAGATAAATTGTATTTACATTTTAAATAGATTTTTTTTGTTTTAAATTCTGTCTAAATAGTTTTTTATGGAATGCTAAAAAAGTATTTCTAAAAAATTTACACTGTTACTATTAACTATTGCAAATGTATATTATACATTTTTATACTTTTTGAGTATAAAAATTTAAATAATTTATAATAATTTAAACATTCACAATTAAAACCTCATAAGTTCAAATTTTAGTATCTAACAAAAACTAAGTGTAAGTAAAGTTCTCTCCTCTAATTAACTGCAGGGGTTTTGGGAAAAAATCTTGTTGATTTAAACTAGTTAATACCCCTCCGATCAATGATTTTTCAAAACATCACCTCCCCCCTTCCCTTCTAAAAATTGACACTCTATCCAAACAAACAATATATATATATACATACATACATACATACATACATACATACATACATATATATATATATATATATATATATATATATATATATATATATATATATATATATATATATATATATATATATATATATATATATATATATATTATTTATATATATATATATTATTTATAAAAATATATACTAATATATATCAGGGCAAAACAAATCAACGAACATAAAAACACTTATAAAAAAGACAAAAAAACAAATGTCACGTTTCTTTACTTTTGCTTAAAAATTTTCAAAACAAATGCATTACTTCAGCAACAATTTTTCCAAAATATTATATGATTGACTTTTTATTTATTATAAAAAACACATATTTCTAATAAAAAAAACAATTAGTTACTAAAATTTAAAACACATTTTAAAGACTTTAAAATAAACCATGCTTAAACATGATTAATTTATTCAATAGGGTTACATTTAAGTAAAATGACTAAGCATGTTCTTGAAGAAAGTAATTATGTTTAGCATAGTTTTGCATGGGTTAACAAAAACATGCCAAATTTTACTTAAAATGAATACATTTGCAATTATTTTAAAAGAAACTAATGCTTGAAACATTACAATTGATTGTTTTCTAAAGTGTGCATTTTTTAAAATTTTTTTTATTTTGCTTAAAGTGATGTAATGTTTGCTTGTATATTAAAAACATTTTAAAAAGTTTTAAAAAGAATTCTTAAGTTTTGCTTAAATATATATAATCTAATAATATAGAGTTGTTATATTTATTATATTTTTATTTTTTATTATGCGTTTAACAGCACCAATAATATGATAATTTTATGAGCTTACTATCAAATAATTAATATAATATAATTATTTTTAAAAGTTAAAAAAAAATAATGTCAAAACAACTTTTATTTAATTTTTAGTTCCTTATATTTTAATTTCTTTAAGTTTATGTTTTTTTATTAGTAAATAAATTTAATGAACTAAATTGTGAAAAATTCACTACTTTGTATCAACCAATAACAGTTTCAATTATTAGGTAATTGCATGTTAATTATTATTAATTTGCATGCACCTTGCAAAAGCGTAAAATATTGTTTTAAAAAAATAAAAAATTGAATAAAATCAATTCGCATCTTTGATATAACAACTTAATAAGTAGAATGAAAATTATTTGAGAATAAAACTTATTTGACATATATCTCTTAAATAAGATATATACACATTGGTTTGATATTTAGTTATATTATTATATTATATTGTATAATATAATTGTATAATTATATTATACTATTACTGACAACATTAATTATTACTATAATTATCTCCATCAATGTTTATCTTATTTCAAAATTTATTTGATTTTGAAATTTTGATTTGAGAATGAGTTTTGCACTAATAATTTCAGCCATAAACTAAGTGATTAAATTTTAGCCTTCTGTTCTAAACTAAAAAAGTATCCTATGGTAAAAGTAAACTTTTTAACTACAAAAAACATATCTCTAATGTTGTCTGAATAATTAGCGTATCTTAAAAAACAGGAAAATTTATTTTTACCTTTTCATGGTCATCAAGAATCATTATGCATGCTATACAAGCTGCTGATAAACATGATCGGCAGTGTGACCTAGAAAGATATTATTTTATGTATTAACAAATGGTGAAGATATAATACATAGGTTGCTATGTATTATATCTTCAATATATTTCAATATACAACATGCACAGTTGAGATATAATACATAAGCTGCAACAATATACAACATACACAGTTTGGATAGATTTTATAACAATCCTATAATTGATATCTATCCCAGATTTTTATTTGTATTAACATAACTATTTTTTAATTAAAAAAAAAAAATTACAAGAAGAGATATATGTTCTCATGCTGATTTTTTTTAATTGTTTAAATTCTCTCAAATTTAGAAATCCAAGAAACTTTTCTCCAGCCCCGCATTATTTCTGTTTATCCTAGTTAAATTTTGAAGCCAACCAGCTTACATTTTTATTTTATCTTGCTATATTTTTTCAAGTAGTATTTCTAAATTCTACATGAAATAGTATAATTGCTGTTTAAACATAGTTGCTTTCTGCCTTGCATAGTTTTATTAACAGGTTTATACAATAAATGAAAGATGTTTGACAGTCATTATATGTTTGACAGTCATTATATGTTTGACTGCTCAGTTTGAGCAGTCAAACATAGAAAAAAATACTCACATTAACACTCACATATATAATAAAAGAACATATATGACTGATCAAATATGTTTTTTAATTAAAGGCTTTTATTTACTTATACTTTTATTACTAATAAAAAAAAAAGTCCTTTTTATGACTAAGTATTCCCAAAGTTTCATATGCAAACTTTATAATAAAGAATAATTAAACAAAATGTGAGAAAAGTTTTATGACTTCTTGAAAATCAATTATTTTGTATAGAAAAAGAAAAGCAACAAAAAAGTAACATTAAAAAAAAAAATTATAAAATGAAAAATACACAAAAATGGATTTAAAAAACAAAAACTATAAAAAATTGAGATAAATATTAAGGTAATTATTAAGAATTTAATTCTTTGAAATTTAAAAAAAAGTTTAAAATTAACAAGAAAAAAGTTTTAAAATTACTAAAATTATTTAAAAAAGACATACAATTTTTATATTTAAAATATTAATGAGCATTAGATTGTAGATTATTAAATTTGAAAACTTCAAAAATAAAAATATTAAACATTTAATAGAATAATTTATATTTAAAATGATTTTATTTAAACATTTGGTATTCAAAATCCAAGAAAAATTTATAATTTATTAGAATACTATATTATAAAAGAAATTTAGAATTTGAAATGTTTTATTATTCCCTGACTAACCAAGAAAAAAAGTATTATTTTCCATGACCACTAAAATCACTCGCTGACTTACTCTGACATTCCCTGACTTTCTTATAATTTTCCTTGATGCAGTTGAAAAAGACGCTTTTGTCCTTGATTTGCTATGAGTGTATAAACCCTGAAAATGCTTTGCACAAAGAAAATTTACTAACATGATAATTTTTAACATATTTTTACATTTTAGTTTGAATATTTTATTCATTACATCAACTCATTTGATTTTTTATTCACAATTGTATCAAATTTTAGCACATGTTTTAAACAATCTGAATTGTTCGATATGCATTTTTTAAAATTTAAGTGACATAAACTTGTTAATTTTTTTTAAACAAGATCGCCCATAAATCACACAATGTTAAATTTATTTAAATACTAGAAGTAGGAGATCATATGATTTCCTACTTCTAGTATTTAAATAAATTTATCCATTTGTTTTGCTACAATTTTAACTGAACTTAAATTTTTAATTTTTGGTAATTAAAGACTCTGCGAGCTAAACTTGTGATCTTTTTTATTTTGTTTATTATATAATATTAGCATTGTGTAACTTATGGATGATCTCTAAATACAACCGCTTGTTACATGTAGCTGGTAAAACACTTAATATGAAAGTTAGTTAAATTTTACAACTTATCTAAATAAAATAGTTAAACAAAGTAATTTAAATTAGTTAAACAAAGCTGAACAAGTAATTTAAATTAGTTAAACAAAGCTGAACAAGTAATCTATATTAGTTAAACAAAGCTGAACAAGTAATTTAAATTAGTTAAACAAAGCTGAACAAGTAATCTAAATTAGTTAAACAAAGCTGAACAAGTAATCTAAATTAGTTAAACAAAGCTGAACAAGTAATCTAAATTAGTTAAACAAAGCTAAACAAGTAATCCAAATTAGTTAAACAAAGCTGAACAAGTAATCTAAATTAGTTAAACAAAGCTGAACAAGTAATCTAAATTACTTGTTTAAATATATTTATCTAATATTATTTAAATAAATTCTATTAGTATACTCAAAATCTTGTTTACTCAAACTAATTCTTAACAAATAGTTAAGAATTAGTTTGAGTAAACAAGTTAATTATTTCAAATAAACAAATTTTTATGCCTTATTTTTGAACTTAATAATCCTAAAATTTTTGAAAAATATAAATAACAATATTTGTTTAAAAATTTTTAACTGAATAAAGAGTACCTTCCCTTGATAATGCTAGTACCAAAATACTTCATAAAAGGTGTACCACATTTTGAACAGAACTAATAATTTTAATAAACAAAGTTTTTTTAGTTTTTAAAACTTAAAACAAGCAATAACTTTTAAAACTTACACTCTACAAGGCTGCAAGCAACCTTCAAATAGAGAACAAATAATAAAATAAACAAGAATGAATGTAAAAATAAAAACAATATTTAAGTGGTATAGATGATAAAATTATTTTAAATAGCAGAATACTTATCAAACTAAAAAATTGATGATGTAATAAATGATGATGTAATGAATGATGATGTAATGAATGATGATGTAATGAATTGATGATGTAATGAATTGATAATGATGACTGAAAACTAATAGCAGTTGTTTATTCGTTTCATACAAATATTACTTTTGAGAATAATTATAGAAATAAATGGAGATAACAGTTATTAGAAAAATAAACTTTTAAAAATGTAAACTATATTAAAAAAGAACCATAGTAGCAAGAATTATTGGTGCAATAATGATGCCATTTTGGGCACCTTGGTCAATATTAAAAAAGATATGCGATATTGCCCCAATAATGATAAACAAAGTTGTGCCAATATTGACATGTCAGCAAGTATTATCATGGCGATATCCAACATTGTTTGTACAATATTAGAATGCCAATATTGGCAATTAACTTGTTAATATTGACATTTTTACACAATTGTGTGCATGTGTAGCAAATTTTGTTAAGGAAATATATTGTCTTTAAATTTTTTGTTAATTATTTATTGTTATTTATTAAATTTTTACTGCAGTAATCAATCAGAAAACTGCAAGAACTTGTTTTACATAATTCCCAAGGTTTTAGATCACCATATTGAATCAATAACAAAAAGAATTATGAAGATATATTATAATCTTGAGTCGCATTTTATCTTTTTATCCTTGAATTCATTTTATTATGGTTTTTATTGGAAAAAACATGACTAAGTTTTATTTAATTGTGTTTTTTCTTTTTTAAGTTTTTATAAACCCACAAATTAAAAAAAATATATATAAAATGTTAAACATTTTTTTGTTTATATCAATTTACATCAGCTGTTGTTACAATTTGCAAAGATAGTTCTTATTAAAACATTGATATGTAAGTTTTGTAAAATAGAATATGTAACAACAGTTCCTATCAAGTTTAACTTGATATTGAACTCAAATTGCACATTCTAACATCTGGTGCAATATCTGTCTGCTTTCTCTATGACATCTTTCTAATTGACTTCTAACTTTTACTCTTGATCCTTCCTAATTCTTAAAATTATTTACTCTTGGTCTGTGAAGTGGGTTATGATGCTCTTTAGTGAGCTGAACTTGTCTTTGCATGCCTTGGTATGTGGCCTCTATATGGCAATTAGCCGGAGGAGGATAAACCATCATACCAAAGATAGTTCTTATTCTTGTTCAACTATGTTATTTATAGCTGTTAATGTTGTTTTATATATATATATATATATATATATATATATATATATATATATATATATATATATATATATATATATATATATATATATATATATATATATATATATATATATATATATATAGAGCCAATATTGAGATAAATATTGTACCAATCTTGGTTACTACTAGGGAAACAAAGTCAAAATAGGTTTATATCTACCCCAGCCTTTTAGAAAAATACTGGTTTGTGGGGCTGATGAGGACTGTGAGACTGTCAAATTACCCATTTAAGAATGTAAGGCTGGTTAAATAGAATTTTCTGCTTATTCCAAATCTTTGCCAAGAAGGCCTTTTATAAGATAGTTACTGGATGCAGTTAACACCTACAAAAGATAAGTATTTTTATTTAGACAATATCTCTGGCCCTTACTCAATCAAGAACCTGAAGGCTCTGCGTTTATCAGAGTTTACTTTTCTTAGCTTTTAGTTGGGATATAATATATAAATCTGCCCACAAAATAGCCAATTTATGTGACTATCAGATTTTTTTGGTTTGCATAAACTTTGCAGATATGCTTAAATTAGTTTAAAAAAACTTTAAAATGCAAAATGTAATATGTGATTGCATAAAAACCCTTATAAGATTATAGCAAGAATATTTAACTTTTAGAACAATCTCTAATCTCAATCTCTAATATTCTATTTGATTGTCAAATAAAATATTGAAAATTTAAATGTTTTTAAGAAAAGAAAAGATGTGAACTTAATGGACTTGATTATATTAAAAGGTTTATATGCTAAGAACAAGTTGTCTTTATACTTATCATGTCAAAAAATGAGTAATGATGAGGAAACAAAAAAATATATAATTTTACCTTACACTCGCATGCCTTGAATGAATGCCTGCATTCATTACAGTTTTTTCCAGCTAAAATAAAAAATACAAACAAAAATAAAATGGAAATAAAATAACGATAACAAGGGAATTCATAGGGTTGTGGGTTCGGGCGTTTAAGTCCATTTATTTAAGACCATAGCCAATGATGCTGTTGAGCTAAAGTAAAAGCAACTGAGAAAATAAATAAATTTGAAACAAAACTCATAAACTAGTTGTGGTAGGAAAGGATTAAATGATACAAAGTTTAAAATAAAATTTAACGTATTCTTTTCAGAAAAAAATTTAAAAGAGAAAGTTAATTTAATTTCCCTTTTTTTATTTCCCTAACTTTATTTACATAAACACATTTTTATATGGATCAAAGTTTTAAATTTTATGTTTTTTTAAAGTTGCATTTTTTTAAATTTAAAATGCTTCGTTTTACAATTTTTTTAAATTTAAAAATCTCCTAAAATTTTATAGAAAAAAAAATTCCTTTTATTAAATTAAATTAAAGTTACTTTTTTATGTTCCTTTTACATTAAACTATTTCGTTTACTTATTTTAATTGAATTTAAGCTTACTTATTTTAAATGAATTTTTTTCAGCGTGTTCAGGTTAAGTAAGTGTAAGTGCTAATACACAAAAGTTTCGATTAATATATAAATGCATTTATAACTATATATAAATGTATTTATAACTATATATAAATGCATTGCTAGATATATTATAATCAAGCCTGTAGGCAAAATTATTTTAGAGAATTTTTTTAGTAAGTATAGTTTATATAAAAAGTTTATGAAAAGATTTTTTTTTTTTTTAGATTTCAAAATGTTTTTTAACAAAAGTTTTTTCATTATCATTAATCGATCATAGAATGAACGCCAATTAGAAATGATTAACTAGTTTATGAGGAGTATACAAAGATTTTATTAAAGCCAAAATGTTAACAAAAATTGTTGAAAAATTTTATTTTCTTTGACAGTTTAGAAATTTACCCATAAACAATTTCTTCTCATTGAATAATAATAATAATAATAATAATAATAATAATAATAATAATAATAATAATAATAATAATAAATAGTGGGTAATTCCATATCAAATGACCCATAAATTTTAAAAAATGTCACTATATCTCAGATTCTGCTAATTTTTATACAGTTGATAATAATAAGTAAAATAAAAATTAGATGAAAATTTTAGCCTCTGGTTCCTAGAAGATCCTGAAACATAACCATTTACTTTTAGTAGATATTGGCTAAGCCCCTCTTGTTCCCTCTTTGCAACATTTATTTAGTGATTTCAAGTTACATAACTTTAAAAATATTTGAATTTTTTTACTTAAAAATGTGTAATTGGCTTTATTTCAGGGGTGAAGGACTGGTGATCTGAGAGTGTGAGCATCAGTTGTGAAACCTTTTTTAACAGATCAATATAGGAAGCATTGTATTGAATTTATTCTCTCTCACTTACAATTTTTCGCAAATGGTACAAGGCAGTTTGTAAATATGTTTAACTCGATTCATGTAGATTAAAAATGGTTCTTAACCATCAACATGTAAAATCGAAAAATTTTATCATAAAAATAATGTTCCTGGCCACCGTTGCAAGACCAAGATTTGACCAACATACAAATGAATAGCTTGAAAGAAAGAGCCTGTGAAGAGAAACAGGAAAAAGTAAAGAAAGGGAGCACTAGCTACAACTCCAATTATTGTAAATAAATTTAAGTATCGCAACATCGTTTCAAATAATGTTTTACTAGCCATTAATTCAAAATGGCCAGGAAATCATATTGAAAGGAGTCAAACTATTTTTATACAAATGGATAATGCAAAACCACATAAAGCAATTGATGATTCAGAACTTATGGTGAAATTATGGTTGCCTATTTCTCTTTTTGTTGAACAAAGTGTTCTAAGAAAACCCCTTAAATTTTTAATTCAATAAATAATCTGGATTTTTGATTTAGTTTATTATATTTTTATATATAAGCACGTGTAGATTAACAAATATACAAAAATAAGATGAGAAAATAGCCTAGGTTTGGTTTATTGTGGTATATATATATATTTTTTTTATTTTAACTCACCTCCTCAAGGCCGAGAAGGCCACTACAGACGAGGAGGCTACTTATTTGTGGCTATAACCCTCTCTCAACTCTATAACTCCGAAACACGAACCTTGACGAACAAGGCCGCTGCGTGGAGAAACGAGTTGAGCGTGGTGCTACCAGGGACGTGGTGGGGATCGAACTCGGAACCACTCATTTATGAAGCGAGCGCTCTACCACTACACCACTACCGCATAGCTACAATTGTGTGTATGCACATACACATAAAGAAGCACCAAAAAAACCTAAATTAATAAATAATGTACTACAAAAATTGTATTTAAATACTGTACTACAACAATTGTATTTGAAAACTTGTATTATGGGCCACTGTGGCCTATAATACAAGTTTTCAAATATTTTTTTTATTTTCTCATTTTATTAAAAATATTTTTTTCTCATCAAAATTAGTAATATGATCAAATCAAAATAGTAATTTGGAACAAACAAAAAATGTGAAATCGGAACAGTATTTCGGAATGGAGGGAGTATAGCAAACAGAGTTAATTAGTTGAACTTTATGAATTTTTAAAAATATATATCTTTTCATGAATGAAATAATTTTTTTTTTTTTTAATCAACTTTAGTAAACTTCATGCGTTTAATGCTATCAATTAATATTTAGATTCCTGTAGAAGTCAGATCATTTCTGTTGATTATAAATGGTCTAACCAAAATTACTTCTAAATGCAAAGAAATACTCTTGAGTGGTAGCTAAGAGGTATTAAGTAAGAAAAAGGTAATCAGGTAGAAAAAGCTTGTACGCTTGTAAATTCTAAAAAAGAATAAATCTTAGACTTTTTGATAGCAAAGAAGTTTTTCTTCTGGATAACTTTGATGCATGGAAAAATATTTGAACAATTAATACAAAAAAAAAAAAAAAATGTAAAAAAAGCCTACAGCAATGACTATAAACATAAATGCAAGAATGCATGGTCGTCATGGTGCGTCGTGGGGTTGGTAGAAAAATATATGATCTTTAGTCCCTGGGCAAAAAAATTTATGTTTTACCTGATAAAGTAAAAAGTAGTAAAAGTAAAATGAAATATAAAAATTATTTCAGTATAATAAAACAAAACATGATGGATACCTATGGATAAAACATATGGATAAAACAGCTATATATATGGTTAAATAAAAGACCTATATGTTAATATGGAAAACACAGGTATGCAACTAATGCAACTCTTTGACATTAAAAAAATGCAACAAAGACTTTGTTATATTTTATTTAGACTGTGAAAAAATAAAATTTTAAAATAATGATATAATGATGATTTAAAATTAAAATATTACCATTTTTTAACTCCATAATCAGAAACAGTTTAAATACTCAACGACACGTGAACCATTGAAAAAGGATACCCGGATAAGGACACAGTTTTGCAGGCTTTGTTTATTTTTCATTACTAATTTATTTCAAAATTTTTGAAACTTTTATTGTTGTTTGTTGTCTGTCAAAACGACGTTCTTTGTTTTTTTAGACGTCAATTTGTTTTGGCACACATGAATTCAAATCTATTTTGCTGTATTCGGCCGTAACTGTTGTATTGTGACCGAAACTAAAATTACTCGAAGTACTTAATGAAAATACGCGATTTTAAAAAGCTTTAAAAAAATTCATAACTTTTATTTTGCCAGCTTCCAAATAAAATCTTTTAAGTTGTCCAATTTTTAAAAATTGGAAAGTATTTTTGCCGGGTTTACAAAAATGTATTTTATATACCTTTATATATAGCTATTTGTTTTTAAATCCAGCAAAAATACTACAAAACAAAACAAAATCCTGGAGAAATATATTACGTTTGTTTGCAAAAAAAAAGTTCTTTAAGAACGTAAAAAATCTATAGCGAAACGGGGAAAAAAAAGATAAGGTTCCAATAATTAGTAGTAACTGTTTAAAACTTCGATAATTATACCTAGCATGGAGGTATTCCAAAAACAATTTTTTTTTTTCGTCATTAAAAAATAATCTTTTACAATGTTTTTACAACATAAAAAATGTAACATTAAAGTTTCGACCGGAGCTGGCAGAAGACATGGTCTTATCATCCAGCCCCGTTAATATAACTAAAAAATTCAGCCGACAAAAATGAAAAAGAAAAAAAGAAACTAAAGCAAGAACTGATTTAAAAATCAATTTGCTATTTACAGAAAAAAAAGAAAAAAAATTAATTATTTCTTCTCATTATTATTATTTTTTTAATTCTTTATCTAATTCTACTTTTATTTTTAATATACACGCACGCACACACATACACAAATATGCACACGCACACACAAATATGTCTGTTCATAAATATATACATACAAAATCAAATAAATCTGTTTTATATTTCATCTACAAATCGCGTAAGATGTAACAAATATTGCATTTACAAATTGAGTTTTGTTTAATCTTATACAAGTTACCATACAATATAATTAAGATTTTAATAATAGAATAGTAATTGCTTTAAATCAAAATCAAATAATGTTGTTTTGTTGCACGTTTGAAATGTTGAAATGAATTTAAAGTTTTTATATTACTTGTTAAAAGCAAGTTCCATAACCGCGTTCCTCGGCAAGATATCGAAAAATCAGCTTGTTTTGATAACGTTTTTGGTATAATAAAATTAATTGTTGAGTATTTAGTTTCGTATTTGTGGTTTAAAGAAAAAAAAGTAATTTTGGAAAATGCTTGGTAGCATACCATTTTTAAACTTACACATAAAAATAAGTATGTTAAGAATATTTATTTCATAGACATTAGGCACTCCAATTTCTCTTAGTAGTGGTCTGGCACTTGCGTATTTATTTGCATTATTTTGCGACTTGCTCGTTTTTGATCACATTTAACTTTGAAGGATAAGTACTTGCCCAGATAATATTGCAGTAGCTGATGTAGCTATTAATAAATGAAAAATAAATAATTTTTAAACAATTTGTGTTCAGGTGATGTTTTGTTTTATACATAATACCAATAATCTTAGATATTTTATTTTCTATTACTTTGATTTGATTACTCCATGATATGTTCATTAAGTATTACGCCTAAAAATTTGATTGAGTATTCTCATTTAAGTTTAGTTTTATCAATTAATAAATCAGGTAGTTTTAAGAGGAGGGTTTCAGATTTTGATAATTTTGTAAAAAGAATATATTTACTTTTTTTGACATTTAAAGAGAGTTTGTTAGCCTCAAACCATTCGTTCAGGTTTTCAAGTTCTTGATTCCCAGTGGGCATTTCGACGTCGAACGAACGTCGAGCGACGTCGGATCTCGACGTCGGATCGACGTTGGGTTTACGTTGGAAATGGAAATGTTATTTGACGTCGGATAAACTGACATCGCGCGACGTCGGCATTCTGATGAAAATCCAACGTGTTTTTTGAAAACTAAAAAATAATGCCTTCAACAGGAGTCGAACCTCGGTCTATTAGATACTATATTCTACGCGCTTACCACTACACCACAGGAACATATTGTTCCATGTGTTTATTTAGTAATTTATACTTGTAGCTATTTGGGAATTATTACTTTGATAAGAAATAATTTTGTTTAAATATTATATAAATATTAAAACGAATAGTTATATATTATAAAAAATGTATACTCGAAATGGTTAATAGTTAAAAAACTATGCTAGTGCATCATACAAAACCTCATGATGTTTTATCAACCATTATTCAAACTTTTTTCCATTAATAAAAAAACACGCTTAGTTCACATAATTATTGAAAAGCGCAATTGCACACATATTGTTGGGTTTGGATTAAATTTTCATCAGCGATGTCTTACGACGTTGTTCCGACGTCGTTTTAAGGACGTTGGATTGACGTCGGAAGACGTCAAAAGACATCGGAGTACGTTAATAATATGACGTTGCCCGACGTCTTTTTATCGACGTTGGATCGATGTCAGTACTGCAACGTTTTTTGGACGTCTTTTATAAGATGTCGAAACAACGTCAAAATACATCGAAACGACGTCAGGGGATGTTGAGATAAAGACATCGCCTGACGTCATTTTACTGACATCGGAACAACGTCGGAATAGGTCTTTTGACATCGCTGATGAAAATCGTACGTAAATCCGACGTCGGATTGACGTCGGGTGCCCACTGGGTTAACAGTGTTAAATAATAGGCTAATGTTTGTGTGGCTAAAGAATACTTGCGTATCATCAGCAAAAAGGACAAAATTAAGTATGTTAGAAGATAAGTAGATATCGTTAATATAAACGAGGAATAACAATGGACCGGGAATCGATCTTTGCAGGACCCAACACGTAATGTTTTCAAGTCGAGTTACAGTGTTGTTATAAATAAAATGAGATATAGTAATCTATTTTGATTTTTTGCACTGCCCTATATTAATTCTGTCTTGATAAAAGCAATAAACGCAATCGTATTTTTAAATAATTTTAATTCTAATTAATAATTAGTTGCGTGTTCTGATCATATTATGGTGTCTTATGCTTCCAATATTAAATAATAATTTAATGTTAAAATAATTTAAGGTTATTTTTAAATAATCTCACCATATGATGCGCTAACGGTGACCAAATAGAAGTATGACACCTTGGTATAAACCGTCACCGTAAAACCCCCAGCGCGTATTGTGTATATGTATATATTATCAGTATTTATTTAAATAAATCTAATTTTAGCCGAACTAAAGTTAGTTGACTAGTTTAACTTAAACTGAAATTAAACTTAACATTTCTAAATTTCTGTTCCAGCAAAATTTACACGCAAAACTAGCTCCCACCCTCCAACATACGTATAAACTTATAATAATGTACTTAGAGATAAATTAAATATGACAAACTTTTTTGTTTAAAAATTTTATTTTTGACAAAAAACTAGTTTTGTTCCAACCATAGCATTCAATACCCCTGTGGGTACAAACCTAAAAAAGACGTTTTTTGAAGGTTCAAATAGTTTTTTAGGTTCTGTACTCACGTGGACAGTTCCATCCAGATCTTTTCAAGACCATCAGCATAGTTTCGTTCCTGAATACATACATAGCTCAATGGACCAAAAAAGTTTATTTTTTAAATTATTATTGCTTCCACTATGAAAATTGTGCAACTATATTTTTTATGTATATAATAATAGCTTAAACACCTTAGTAAAACAATAAAATATGAGAATTATACTGAAATATGACTAGTGACGACTAGTAAACTCCCAAAATAGAATTGTTAAAATTAGTCAATGAGAACAGTTTAAAAAACGGGAGAACTGAATAAGCGTGAATTTCATAAGTGCTAACTGGCATCAGTGCAAATGGCGTAAGTGCGAACTGGCTTAGGTGCAAATTAAAACATATCCGATATTGAAATGACACTCAGAAATGCGATATTCCTAATACATATCCGATATTAAAATACACGTAAAACATATCCGATATTGAAATGACACTCTAACATGTGATACTCCTAAAGTTGAAGTAGAAATGAACGCAGAAAGTTGTCGTGATAATGCGGAAAACCATGTTGAGCAAATTAAAAGTGTGTTGGAAACGAGTTATTTAAAAGTGTGTTGGAAACGAGAGAAATATTTACCTCATTATTCACATTCGTATCCACACAAACTGGAAATTGCTATTTTCATATTATTATTTATTTTATGCCTACTAATGTTTTTAAAAGCTTGTGTGGCAATGAAAACAACCGTTTTTTTTTTAATCACCATTCAGGTATTATTGAACTCTTTGATGAAAAGAGATTGAACCGCAGTATCAATAACAAAGCATTTAGCAGTATATCTTTGTATATAAAAGGAAACTTTGAGATGATTTAAGTTATGGAAGTATTTCATATGTATTGGGGTGTTTATGCTGACAACAACATTTGGTTCCCCAACATAAGATAACTTTGTTATGCCATGGTCTTTTATTTTAGAATAATTTCGTTTTTAAAGGTATTTCATTAAATCTTTATAAATTAAACGGTTAAACTCTCTATTACAAAAAAAAAGTTTTTCTTGTTACATTTTGGTGATAATAACTCAATGTTTCCTCCATAGTTCTTAAAAATTGCTGCCATAAACCTCATTTTTTGCCTTGGAGCGTATAATTTAATTGATGAAACAAGACCTGTTAAATGACTTCTGTTTAGATTGGTGAGCATTGCAACCCCTATTTCTTTTAAATAGCCATCTAGTATCAGCCCAACCAAAACCAGGCTATTTCTAACAATTTCTTCAATTTCTGAGTCTATTTTACTTCCCATTGAATAGTCATTTGGAAATTTCATTTTATTTTGCAACCACGATTGCTCAAATGATGAAAGTCTCCGTTCAGTCTTGATCCAGAGTTTACCATTTTTTTCAGCTTGGGAAGACGCCATTTTGAATGGAAAACTAAAATGATACTATGAATTTGCGGAACAATTTTTAACCAAAATTGCTAATAGCAGGATTACCGACAGTGGAGTAATGAGGAATTTTGCGGCCGGGGCCAAAAATAAGTATTGCGTCCATTTATTGTCATTAGGGAGTTTTTTTTAGAGGCACTGCCAGTTAGTGTTATGTTTTGCAATAATGTATAAGATATTTACACAGTTAAAATATATATATATATATATATATATATATATATATATATATATATATAACGGACAAAAACCCATGATGAAACTTTTTAGTCCCTGTGTAATAAGGTACAATATTCAATTCACTTCGAGAGGTAATCCACTGTTACTTAGGGTGGTAGCCCTCTCAGCCTACAGTTTCAGATAGGAAATAATCCACTGTTTAGGACGGTAGCCCTCTTATCAAGAGAGTAAGAATAATCAATTATAATAATGAATCTAGATTTTCTTAAACAAGACAATTGGCCGAAACTGGGCGCTGGTTCACATTCGCAATCAACTAAAGATATTCATAATTGGTGTAGCCAGCTTTCATATGCTTTTTTGGAACTCTTTGAACGATTGCAAAACTAGAAACAACTAAGATTGAAAATGACAGCAACATTCAAAGTTTAAAAACAGAAGTAATCAAAGCAGCTAATTCAAGCAAGTCTATCTATTGGTCTCTTATTGTTAAACAGGGTAAACAAAAAATGTAAACAACAGAACAATTAGTAGCAAAAAATGTAGCCATTAATGATTTAGAGGAGAGAAAGAGAAGAGCAAAAAATGTTATTATTTATGGTGTAGCTGCTAATGAAAACATTGAAATGAAATCAAAAGACGATGAGTCAAAAGTAAAAAAAAATTTTAAAATTATAGATCAAGAATATGTTATACCAAAATTTATTAGACGATTGAGATCTAAAACTGATAAACCAGGCCCAATTCTAGTTGAATTAACTGAGGTTTTTTTTCGCAATAAAATTTTAGGATCAGCTAAGAAATTGAGAAGTAATGAGCTACATAAAAATCTTAGTCCAGACTTAACGGAAGCACAAAGGTTACAAGATTTAAATCTTAGAACTAAAAGAAATAAAATGAATCAAGCAAGAACAGACAATGATCCCTTTTGGTATGGCATCCGTGGCAATCAAATTGTCAAATTTAAAAAGAAATCAAATCAATAATTTTACTTTGGTAAAGACAAGTATCTGCTTGGCTGCATCTACAGGCCAAATGATTTTATAGACATGTCAGAATTTCATGTGGTATTCAGTCCTGCACGTGAGTTTATTGATAAAAATAAGTTCAAAGATTTTCTAATCATGAGTGACTTCAATTTTCTATCTATTAGCTGGGCAAATGGCTGTGTAGAAGTAATTTCACAATTTTTCAAATATTTTAAATGAAATTTGTTTTTACCAGCATATCAACATACCAACTTTCCAGCTGTCAGACGATCAACTTATAAATACCTTAGATTTAGTTTTCACAACTCAGTCAGCAAATGTTAGTTTAATAGACTCAAAGTTCGTTCTGGGAAATATAAAGAGAGGTCATTTAATAATATGTTTTGATTTTATCTTAGCTGATAAAGCAGTCAGTGACTATAAAAGCAAGACAAAAATTGCGATAAAAATTGCTCGTGTAAATGGAAAGACCCTGTTCTAAAATTTGAATACAAAATGATTTGCAAAAAAGTAGAGCATGAGATCAAAAAAGTTAGACAAAACTTTGAATATGATCTGGTAAAAAGAGCCAAGAATCCAAAGCTCCTGTACAGCTACATAAAGAATCAACGAGCAGTCAGAGATTCAATCAAAGCATTAAAAGGAACGGTTGGTGAAACCACTCAAAATCCAAATTATGTTGCGGATATTTTAAACAAAAACTTTCAAGCAGCATTTGTGAGAGAAGACGATGGTCCGCTTACTTTCAGATAAGAACAAATGAAACGTTTATTATAACGACAGAAGATTTTAAATATAAAGATGTCTTTTTAAGATAAAAAAACTTGAAAGAAAACAAATCAAGTGGTGTTGATAACTTACATTCAGCTATTTTAAAAAACTGCATTTGCTATTCCACTTACATATATTTTTAAAGAATCGTTTGAAACTAGCAAACTGCCAGAGCAATTCAGATCAGCAAATATTACTCCTCTGTACAAAAAAGGTGAAAAAACCTTAGCAGTAAACTACCGACCGATATCACTCACCTCAATTGCTTGTAAAATAATGGAAAGTATAATGAGATGTAAACTTGAAATTTTTCTGAATGAGTATAAACTCATAGTCAAACAGCAGCACGGTTTTGTTAAAAGTAAATCATGCACAACAAATCTACTTGATACACTAGATTTTATTTTCACCAGTTTAGAAAATGGTAAACCTGTTGTTATTATTTGTTGTTATTATGTTATTATTTGGATTTTGCTAGGGCATTTGACACAGTACCCCATAAAAGGCTGTTACTAAAACTAGCAGCTTACGGAATTTCTGGTCTAACAATTAAATAGATTGAAGCTTTTCTGAAAAATAGAAAACAAAGAGTTGTGCGAGGCGAAAACGTATCTTCTTGGGCAGAAATTATCAGCGGTGTGCCACAGAAGCCCGTAATTAGACCACTTTTGTTCGTGCTATTTATTAACGATTTTCCTGAAACCTTAAAAAACATATCTATACTGTACGCTGATAACGCTAAAATAATGAATGAAATGATTTTCTACGAATCAACAGTGTCTTTGCAAGCAGATCTTGAAAAAGCTTTTAAGTGGACTCAAGAGTGGCTTGTAAATTTCAATATTTCTAAATGTATGGTCATGCACTATGGGATTAATAACCGAAAGAGATCACTTTATATCAATAAACAAAAATTAAACGTAACAAAATCTGAAAGAGATCTTGGAGTAATTTTCTCAAACAACCTAAAATGGAAAAATCAAGTGATGTCATGCGTAGGCAAAGCTAATCAAATGTTGTGTATGATTAGAAAATGCTTTGTTCGTTTAGATATTAGACTAATGAGATCACTTTATGTATCTTTAATCAGGCCACTATTAGAATTTGCAGTACCCGTTTGTCCACCAAATCAAAAGGGTGAAATTAACTTACGATGTTGAACTTAAGAGTTCAACATCGTGCAACTCGACTAATACCATCACTCAAGAAAATCAACTATGAGTATCGTCTAAAAGCTCTTGACTTAACTACGTTAACAAATAGAAGAAAGAGAGGAGATATGGATTCAAATTTTTAAGATCTTTAACGGTTTCAATAAAATAGAAACAAAAAGAAAGTTTAATTTTCAATAAACTCAAGCAAGAGGTCACCGGTTTAAATTTGTAAAAGAAATCACTAAGCAAGCTCATCGAGAAAACTTTTTCTTTAACAGATAAGTTAATTTGTAGAATTGCTTGCCGAACGGTTTGGTTAATTCAGAAGCAGTTAGCAGTTTAAAGCCGATCTTGATTGCTGGATGAGCAGCAGTAAGGCAAATCAGCTGTCATAGTGTGCTAATAACAAACTCACTGGTTCATACCAGTTACAGCATTTAATAATAATAATAAATATATATATATATATATATATATATATATATTTATACATATATATATATATACATATATATATATATATATATATACATATATATATATATATATATATATATATATATATATATATATATATATATATATATATATATATATATATATATATATATATATATATATATATATATATATATATACAGTGGCGTAGGAAGGTTATATGTTAAAAAAGAAAAAGTTTCACAATTTCGTTGGCACAGCAAAATAGATAAAAACTATCTATTCATCCAATTATTTATAACACGCAACGTCATTAATTGTTTTTTTAACGTGATTAGCCACCACACATTCATTTAAAAAATAGTTAGTATGCGATAGTATCTTAAACAGTTTTACTAATTTACTTTTACATGGTGGTTGATTTTAGTTGTGATTAAGTCATTGCAGACTGGAAAATGATTCCAGCTGTTGCTATTATAAAAGTTTTTTTTTAATTGTATAGGAAATGTAATTGTATAGGGAAGGGCGAAATGCTGTGTTTGTCCCCCCCCCCCCTAAGTGTTTTAGTTGGTGGGGCTATTGCCCCTATATATATATATATATATATTGCCCCTATATATATATATATATATATATATATATATATATATATATATATATATATATATATATATATATATATATATATATATATATATATATATATATATATATATATATATATATATATATATATATATATATATATTAACTGTAAGTAAAAGAAAATACAATTTTTTAGGCACTTCAGTCACGTGACTTTTTCCGTGCGACAAGTTTATAACATAAACATAAGCGAATTTTTCGGCAAGTTTTTCGGGAATGTTTTTCATGGTACCTAATTTAAAACCCAATTGCCAGTTATATTTCAGCGGCAAAAATTTGAAAAAAATGTTGATTTGTGGAGATTATTCTTAAAAGTTTCTTAAAAGAGATGCTAGAAAATTTTTCAAGTCGTTTTCTTGATAATTTATTTAATTTACACTTTTTGACAAGTAAATAAACTGTTTTAAATTGTTTTTTTTGGGTTCTAGCACATCAAAAAGGATTATTTAGCCTATTAAATTACATTATTTGATACTAAGTATCAAAAAACTAATTAGTTTAAAAACAAGTATCATACTTGTTTTTAAACTAATTAGTTTTTTATATCTGGACTTAACAATTTTAAAAAAACACTTAATTATTTTTTAGATTTTTATTTTGGCGCCATTATGATAATGCATCTATAGAGAGCGTTAATTTACGTAACATTTATTTTTAACACTTTTTTATATCTAGCTGTTTTAAATGCAGAATAGAGATTTGTATTTATGGTATCAAGGTTTAGAAAAAACAAACTTATCCTATGTGTGCACAGTTTTTAAACAACAATTTTCTTCCAAGTTTCAAATTAGCTATGAGTGATGATCATAAAGACAAACATTTTTGCATTTAAAACTTTCGAACCTGGGTTGCAAGACTGATACGTACTGCATGTAAAGCATTTCATAAACGAGGCAGTGATGAAGCTGGTAGACGAATGTATGTTTGCTCCTTTTATAGGAGCAACATTTTGTTTTATAATGGGGCTGCACTGTATTATCATTCTGAATCTATTAAAGAATTTTTGTCTGAATGGCCAAATCCGAATAATTTATTTACAGGCAGTTAATGAAGATATATCAAATTTATTGTTTTTAGCAGAATCTCGTGCTTAATCAAACATCTGCATTTGATCCAAGATAATCAAACATCTGTATTTGATTCAAGAGATGCCAAAATACATAAAGATAAACTTTATAAAAAACTTTTTGAGGAGACTAAAAATATAGAATTGTCTAAATAATGTCTTGGTGCAGCAGTCATTAGAAATAATTTCCCATGAGTTTTTAATAATTCTAGAAAGACAAGCAATTGATCAGCTTCCAGGAGGTAAATATTGGAACTCAGATAAAAGAATTCAAAAGGCTGCTGAAAATGTACCAACAATTAACAAAGCTTCAGAAAGTGATTTAGTGATTCTGGATTTACTTATTCGGACAAAGCCTAATGCTAAAATACAAACAATTCAAGCATATACAATGTGGTACAGAAACAAAGCCTTAGATTGGTTGAATGCAAAATCAGAAGAAGAGTGTTACATTTTAATTGAAAAAGCTTCTAATAGTGTTGAAAAAAATGAAGTTAAAGTAAAAAGCGTCAAGTAGAGTTAATATCAAAGAAATCTTCTATTATGATAGTAAAACAGTAACTCAGATACAGAAAAGAAGGCATTGCTGAAAAAAGGAAATGTTGTAAATGAGCTTATTCAATTGAAATCACAAGTTTGGCTAACAGCGGATGAAGCAAAAGATAAATCTTCAAAAATTTAAAATGATACTTTAAGGAAGCAAGTCATTAGAGTTCAATTAGATTTTTATCGTTATGTAATGATGGCAAAATGTTTGTTCAGGAGAGTTAATGGAGAACCTGTTGACTGTCATTTGTACCTGCAATTTGCCTTCGCCAGAAAAAACAACCAATACATTAAAAGAAAAAAACCAAGGCAATGATTTGATTAAGAAACAAAAAGAAAAGTTGTTTACAGCATTAAAGGATTCTAGAATGTCACATCTTGCAAAACAAAACAAAAAGTCCTGTTTTTGCCAGCTTTATTAGACGATCCATTTAGTTTAATTGGGCGAGTTGTTCTTCATAAAATGAAAGAAGTTGACAAAGAAGAGTATTTCTGGTGCAAAGCTAATGTTGTTAAAATGGGTAAAGTTGGAAAAAAAATTAAGTAAACATTATATGATGTTATTTACGAATCAGAACCTGAAAGCATTTATACATTTCCACTGTTATCTGACTTCGATAAAGGAGATATGATTTTGTTATAAAAGGTAGAATCACTTTAAAGTTTCTATAGTATTATTAGTTGATGAACCTGTCCTTGTTACTATTTAAATGTAAACAAAAATTTTGTTGTATTTTTTGCATGATCATTAAATTTTTTGTTTATTTTGCTTACAGGAAACACAATGAACTGCTTGTAAGATTGTGGTGCAACGTAAACAAGAAGAAATTGTAGATGATAATTTTAAATACATTTTTGCATTTTTCTTAATTTTGTTTTTGTGTATTTTTTGACAATTGTGTTTTTTCTAGCTGTGGTTATCCTTTAAATAATGTTTATTTTTTTGGTTTTTTACAGAAATTTCATTTCCTTTGACCCAATTGCCCCAAATGGGGCAAACGAGCACTGGGATTTTTTCATATATTTTGGATTTTAAAAAATGTGTATAAACTTGTTTATCCTGATAATATGAAAAAGCACTAATTCTAAAACTAAAGTTGATTTATATTCTTTTTACAGAACCTTAATTGTTTCCGGTCCAATCGCCTCAGTTCGGGGAATTTGACATAATATTTTTGCATATTTTTTTGATATTTATAAACGTAAATAAAATTGTTCACTCTGACAGTTTGAAAATTCTCTTTTTCTTTATTTAAGCTAATTTTTACGGTTTTAACAAAGGTTTTTGTACTCTTGGCTCAATTTACCCCAAAACAAGCTCTGTGTATTTTTACGTATTTTCGTAGAATTTATAAATAAAAATAAATTTGTTCATTCTGACTTAATTTTTAATTTTAAATTTTAAGTTAATTTTTATTGTTTTTACAGACCTCTGATTGTTCTTGGCCCAATTGCCCTGAATGGGGGAAACAAGCCCTAAGGCTTTTACATATTTTCTTAATATTTATAAATGTAAATGAATTTGTTCACTCTGAAAGTTTGAAAAAGCTCTTTTTCTTTAACTAAAGCTAATTTTTACGTCTTTAACAGAGTTTTTTGTACTCTTGGCCCAATTTTCCCCGAAATGGGATAATGAGCCCTGTGTATTTTTACAGTTTTACCTAATATTTATAAGTATAAATGAATTTGTTTATCCTGACACTTCGATAAAGCCCTTTTTTTTAACTAAAATTAATTTTTATTGTTTGTACAGAACTTTGATTGTTCTTGGCCCGATTGCCCTAAATTGGGGAAATTAGCCCTAAGATTTTTACGTATTTTCTTGATATTTATAAATGTAAATGAGTTTGTTTACTCTGACAGTCTGAAAAACTCTGTTTATTTAAAGTTGATTTTTACGGTTTTAACAAAGCTTTTATAGCTTTTGATTCAATTGCCCCAAATGGGGCAAACGAGCAGTGGATTCCTTACCTAGGGGCCCCTTATATGAAAATAATAATTTTGAGATTCTTTAGTAAAAAAAAAAAAAAAAACAAAAACAATAAAAATAATTTAGCATAAGTACTTCAAAGAAACTCGTTCTCATTGGTAGCATTTAAAAATTTTTTTTTTTAAATTTGGTGTTTAAATTTTAAAATTTGGTGCCATAAATCCTTAAGGAAAACTCAAGAAATCTTGTCGCAAAATAGGCATTATTGAGCCCAACATAAACTTGGGAACCAATTATCCAAATTTTAAAAACGAACTCATTTTGAAAACGTCTTTATTACCCGCATACTTTGGTATTAATTATAACAAGAGATAATAATTATAGTGAAATCGAGTGAAGTGCCTAATGTTATGCTATACTGTAATTATATTTTACACTAGAATTTGATAAGTATCTTCAGGAATTATTTCTTCTGAAATTTTTATTTTGACTTTCTTTTTAACCTGAATTAAGTTTTTCATATTTATTTTATGGATCTTACATAATTCCTTTATACCGTCTAATAAATCTTACATAATTTCTTTATACCGTCTAATGGATCTTACATAATTTCTTTATACCGTCTAATGGATCTTACATAACTCCTTTATACCATCTAATAGATTTTACATAATTTCTTTATACCGTCTAAAAATGAATATTTCACTTTACAATAGTTAAGCTCGGAATTTATGATTTTAAAAGTTTATTATTTATTTAACCGATAAATAGGTTTATTTTATTTATTTGTATGTACGTTGAACTTTATACTGAGATTTTATTTAGTTTTTGCTATACTTGGATACATTAAAAAATAACTTAACTGCATTTCTTCCAATTTATCAAGTCTTTGCATTGTTAACCCTAACCCTGACAGAGTTCCAGACCATGGTTTAGCGTTGGAACTGCTGAAGATTCATATAATTCGACAATTAAAGATGGATGTGCGAATCGGATACCAGATTGAATCAGAGTTTGCACTGTTGTTTGGAAATTTGATACCCTATTGTAATACCCTATTGATCTACTTAGTGTGACACAATTGGATTACTAAGTGTGATCACAATCGGATTTTCATCCCACATGAAGCCCAGATGATTAAGTTTTTCATTTGGTATTATTTGATAGTTTTCAGTGATATCTTGCAATTAGTTTCTTGTCGTTTTCCGGAGAGCAAAAGTTCCGTTTAGACAGCATTGAGTTTTATGTCGTTTAAGTTATTGCAATCATTACACGTTGTTATAAGTCTTTCAAGATAGAGTAGAGCTAAGCAAAACGTTGTCGTCAGCATAAGCAACAACACCTGTGAATTTTCCATGTTTAGAAGTACCGATAAAGCTATCATTTTTTACAGGTTTAAATTAATTTTTGGGTGTATATGTAATACAAGTGGGGCAACAATATCGATTCTTTCCTTACTTCTTAAGAACAAATGAGACTAAATTGGGGCCAAGGTAAAAGACAAATTTAATATCTTTAAAAATAACTTTTACAATACTTTTATAAAAATTTTGTAAAACAGAGTAGGGTAAAACTACCGTTTCTTTGCCACTTAATTTTAAATTGCGTCGTATATTACCGCGAATGACTTAGGTTTATATATATATTTTTTAGGTTTATATATATATTTTTTCATTTTTTACATATCTTCGCTTCCAGCAAGGCTGGAAGCAACCACTAATTAGAGTTGGAAGTTACTGGAAGAGAGAAGATGAAGATTGTAGAGCAAGATACCGATTGACAAACGACTTGAAAGACTGCAAATTATATAAATCAGGAAAACAAGATAAAGGAAGCGATGTCGAAGAACTGATGTTTGAGGAAAAAAACTAGACGAATAAGAGTTTTTGGAGCACTTAGGAACAGTAACAAAAAAAGGATGAGACTCACTTGAATGACGAGTAACACGACAATGAATTTTAGTTGATGCCACAAGAAAAGCTAGCTTTGCCCATTATAGTATTTGTAGAAAAGAGAAAGAGAAGCAACATTACGATGAAGTAATAATGGTTAAAGGTTGGCTTCAAGAGCAGGTCCAACTATGTTTACAATCCATTTTTTCATCTTGTCAAAAAGAGAAAAGGGCATCATTAGAAGATCCGCCCCAGATATGGTAACAGTATTCCATACAAGGATGGATTTGAGATTTATAGAGATAGAGAATAGAATCCAGAGTTAGAAAGTGTAGAGATCGATAAAGAGATCCAACCTTAGCAAATGCTAATTTTGCAACGGATTTGATGTATAGTTTCCAAGAAAGATCCGAAGTAAGAGTTAATCCTAGAAGATGAAGGGTAGACGACTCATTGAGTACATTACCGTTCATAAATATAGGAAGGTCTAAATTATTGCAATAAAGATTGGATAAAAAAAGTTTTCTTATCATGACAAGAATAAATGGTAGTATCATCAGCAAACAATGCCACCTTAGATGTGAGAATATCTGAAAGATTGTTAATGTAAATTAAAAAGAGTATAGGGCCAAGGATTGAATCTTGAGGAACCCCTAAGGTTACAGAATAAGAAGAGTACTGTCCATCAAGAACAATTTTTATTCTACGAATGGAAAGGAAGGATTTAATAATCTTAAAGATGTTTCCAGATACACCGTAAGAATAAAGCTTATGGAGAAGACCAGCATGCTAAACTTTATCAAACTCTTTTGAAATGTCAAGAGCGATGGCCTTAACTTCTCCACATTTATCAAATGCACGATAAAACCTATCGGTTATTACTGTTAGCAAATCAACCGTAGAATGAGAAGATCGAAACCCATATTGATAATCAGAAAGTAAGTTATTTGATTCAATATGAGAGATAAAGTGTTTATTAATTAAAGAAGACAAATGGGACGGTAGTTAGACGAATCAGATCGCCCTTCAGAATTTTTAAAAATGGGGATAACAGATGTTAATTTCCAGCATGCTGGAAAACTCCGACAACTCCGGAGAACACTTCTGCAAGACTATAACATGTATATTGTCCGGGCCACAAGCTGTAGAAGAGTCTAAGCAGGAAATCACTTTAGATACAGAAGCTAGAGTGATGCGAATGTCAAGCAATGGATCAACCTGTTTGACGGCTATATGAGGTAGAACGCAACTATTGGAATCAAGATATTATATTAATGAAAAGTTCTTAGCAAATAATTCAGCTTTGTCTTTAGGTGAGGTGACAACGTCTGAACCATACAAAAGAGGTGGAATTACAGACTTGCCCTTATTATTGATACTATTAAAGATTCTCCAGAAGGCAAAGAGTGCCTAATTGTTGTAATAAAATACGAGATTTCATGATCTGAGAATAGCCGGCTTTGGCATAAGGTAATACCTTTTTACAATGGTTCCTAGCAGTAATAAACAGACGTCTGTTATCTGGAGAATAGTTTTGCTTATTGATATGTAACTTATGGCTTCAATTGGCAATTGCACCGGCAAAATGTGAGGAAAACCATGAAGAAGAGTGAGACATAAACATAAACATAAACGAAACGAAGTAATAATCATTTTAAATCAAAGTAAAATGTTTTTATTAATAGAATAAAACATTACAATTGAAATAAGTTTTATGATTGTTATTAAACAAGATAAATCAGCGAAACGTTTTTTCGCATTTTTGTTTTCAAGGTGGGAATATTTGCTAAAGTATATACAAAATTAGTATAATTTTCAAACTCAGATAAAATAACTGAGTTTGAAAATTATACTAATTTTGTTACAAACAGGAATTGGTGCTGGCTAGTTATAGGTGGTTTTACCCTACGTGCGATTTTTATAATAAAACGAATCGTGCAATAAAGAATTTAATTACAAAAAAACCATTAAGTTGGGGTTTCGTAATAACATATTTTTTAAATTTATGACAAAGTTTTATTTTTTTTTTTTGCTGTTAAAAAGACGAA